GGATATGCCTCAACTGGATCACAGGTTCCCTCCATTGACTGTACACTTCTGCGCACAAGAGACCCTCCTCCACAGTGATTGCTTCATACCAAATTTTTTGGTCCCAGGTTCCCACCAGGAATTGAAGTCTCCACCCTGCCGCTGGAAGCAAGTCAATGTTGATTGATCCACCAGTTGAGATGTGCCCCGGGGGGCAAAGAAAAATGCAAATATGGTTTTGTCTTGAAATATATATATTTATGTTAATCGATCCCTACAAGTTCAAAATGTTATTATTATAGAAAATGAACGTAAAATAATGAAAAGAGAAAGATGAGAATGTAGAAAGAAGTAAAAGATACGTCAAAACGTGTGTACTAAATCCAATCTAAGCCTAACAAACTCAGCCTAATCCTCTTGCAATCTAAGACTATTTTTTGGTTTAGTGTATGTTTAGTAGTGATTAAAGTTAGATTTTTTAGTAGATTGTGATAGAAGTTTTTGAAGTGTGTGGTTGAAAAGTTGTGAGATCCATAAAAAATGTGATTAATATTGATTTTTTAACTTTGATTTAAATTAATGATTTAAAATCAACATAACTACTATTCTTAATGGGGTGGGTGCAAAAGTTGGATGCCATCATGTGTCTTATCGTGTCTATTTTTGACTTGTGAGATTCCTAATGGAGCCCCTTTGTACTATTTGATAAAACTTTATTAAATCCTAGACATGACTAATTAGAACAATAAATAAACTTTTTAGTTTCTTTTTGAATTTATAATATTCAATTCATCTTATCAAATAATTTTATCATTCTCTTTGATGTTTAAATATAGAATATTGTGAGATTAAAGCTTAGCACAAAATCAATGATATGGGTTCGAGTCTTATTTGGAGAAAAATGTAGCATAATATTTTTAGAATAAACCCCTCTCTTTTAACAAAATGTACGGGAGAGCAAGAAACACTGATCTTTCAACGCAAGATTACATTAATTTGAAACTTTAATATTATGGTAATAGAATATACTTCAGAGTAGAAGAATCAGTTAAAACAATAAGCATTATTTCAGTTTCAATAAATTTGAAGTCGATTATATGAATTATTTTTCTTCATTTTTTTAGTTCAACGTACTTTTAACTCGACAAAGAGTTTGTACATTTTCAATGCCCATTATCTTATTCCACATAGTGCTCTTTTGCTTTTTCTCAATTCCAAAGGATTGAAGTTCCCATTGACAATTGTTAGTGTGAACCTTTTTATGTTGTGGTTCATTTCTCTTGCAGACAACATTATAAAAGTTCACTTTGTTACAGATACTTTTGAGTTTTCACTCTTCCCTTAAAGATATCACTTTTGAACTTCTCTTTGTTGAGAACCTAAATTTTAAATGCTATTTGGCACAATGTCACATGAATTAGGTGATTGTAAATGTATTGAATTCTAACCCAAATAATAACATCCCAAAATTCAAGTAAAGAAACAAATAAATATCATATCATCACAATGTATGACGTTCGCCTTTTTCTCCTTTATTTCTTATCTATAGGTGCACGCTCGTGAAATTAAAGTTTGGAGTTTAACGGAACGCTCAATAAGAGGTAGCCATCTCTTTCACTAAATGTCTCAATAACGAGTCTTTTTTATGTTGTCAGCATATCTAGAAACACCATTGTGGAGCCAGTAAGGACAAAAACCCCAAAAAAAAAATGTTGTAATCCTTGTGGACACTTGTGAATTCAACTAGGCAATGTTGCATAGCCAAAATCTGTGTATTCATGAAGAAAATGTTAAATGGAGAACTCGTTACATAAATTATGTCATTCTTGAAATTATGCTCTTGTTTGTTTTTGCTGAAATTTGATAAAAATTAATGCAATATATGGTTGAAAAGTTGTGAATCCCATAAAATGTGTAATTAAAATAAATTATTAACTAACTTAATTTTTATCAACTTTTATTTTTCAAAATAGTAGCTAGGCTATTGACAAATTTTCACTTCATTTAAAATATATCATTTATCTTTAAAATATGTTGTCTTTTTACATTCTTGTTTTGGTACATTTTTTTAAAATTTCATTTTTAACCAAGTAACTTCCCCATTCAATTTTGTTTATTTAAGTTTATAACCCTAGTTAATTCTCATTTTGGTCGGAATAGATCTACTATTTCTTTATCAAAAACCAAATCACAAGCTTTCGGATAAAAAAAAAACCAATTCCCAATTAATTAATTATGGTCGACCGAACAAATAATTTTTCGGTACTTCATTTAGTCCATACATCCACCATGAACCTAGAGAAGAATTCAATACAAGAAAATGATTAAATTCTTGAATCTACATTGTTAATGTTAAGCAATGTCAAATTGAACTACGTAACCAATCCACTAGCAATGGCCTTATTCATTTTAAGACTTGTAGTTCCATAAACTGGCAAATCTTCTTCATATGATCTAATTCCAACCCTGCCAATATTCTCAAGCTCAAAAAGATCAGAACTTGCACAACTCTTATCATCCACATCACTGTCGTCTTCATATATCTCTCTGAATTCATGTTTTTGAAAACTCGTCCCCTCGTAATCCCGGAAAATGTCTATGTTTTTCTTGATGAATTTGCTCTCTTCTACAATAGTATTGCTGACAGAGGAAAATTGGACAGACTTTTTGGATTTACTGACTCTCAAAGACATTGTTCTGCTCAAGCAAGATCTTGAAGCCAATGAGCATGTTGTTTTGTCCTTCATTGATTTAGATTTCCTCACAGAGTTCCTTTCCTCAGTGCCATTATTTTTCTTTAGATTTCTAGGACTGAAAATGGAATTCAAGAAGTTGGCAATTTTAGCACCTGGTGAATAGGGCTCTTTCACCTTCTTCGACTCTCGGAAAATCTTTGATTTTGTTCTCACGAACCCTCCTTTTCGACCCGTCTCCAATGTTGAAATATTGCACGGCCTTTCGAGAATGAGATTTCGACGTTGATTCAGTTTCTTCCCTGTAAAAATTGAGGATAAAAACATGCTTGAGTCTGTTGATGAGCCTGAGTTTGAAGCAAAGTTCCTTGGAGTGATGCTGCTGCAGTTATCCATCCATTTTTCGATCATGATTGCCTGTCTACAGCTTTCGATTTCTTCTTCGACTTTTGCAACATTTTTTGTTCTATGAAATACAAAATCTCCCACTTGTTCTTCTTCTAAGCCTTTTGAATCATCAATAGAACGATAAATGGCATCGAGGAGAGACGACGAAAACGACTGCTTTTTACGCGGAGGCTGATGCTTCTGTCTTTCCCACATATCCATCTCTTAAGAGAAATGATGATAACTATAGAAATTTGAAGAGCTTACACACACTCGTTTATCATATATAGTGATGTTTGGTATACTGAATTAGATGATTAGATTAACGAAGAAATATCAGTTCAGTACTGTATGGAACGTGCACGTAGTATTGTGTGTGTGCACGTGTGAGTGAGTGTATTATAAAGGGTGTTTTCCACCTTACCCACGCGTGCCTGTGATTCAGACAAATGGCTATGAAAGTGGTTCCTTTTGTTTGCTGTCTGCTTGCAGGTACTATTTTATTTCAGTAAGCTACAGGTAATGGCCCCGCTTCATCGGGTCTGTACAGGACACATACATGAGAGTGAGTTGAGTGATATTTTTTGACAATATTTTAATCATATGGTATCCACCCCATGTGAGTGTTCTATAAAAATTCTGTAAATCATACATCTGTATATATGGCATTTTTCATTTTATTTTCCCTTTCTGAATGTTAGATGAGCTTTGCTATTTGTATATTTGAGGCTAACACCCATCTACCCTGAATGTACAAATAGAATTATTGACGTTAGATTGTTCAATTTTCAAATGCTTTCTGATTAAAAACCCATGTGCTGTTACAGACATTTTTTGCTTTTGAAAATAGTTGAGGATCAAAATGCTATTACTTTCTGTTAGAAAATTAACGATTCTCAAGACGTAGAAATGAAATTGTTAATTTTTTGCACGACCCTTAGTGAGACATGAGACAAAGTTAAAAGTTTAATGATTGTTAAGAAACAAATTTGAAAGTATATTAGCAAATCGAATTAAAAAAAAAAAATAATAATAATAATAATAATTGGATATCAACATTGAAACTATAGTGACGATTATGATTTTTTTACCCTATAAGAATGGAGAAGGAACTTATTTGAAGGGTGCAATTATACATCAACCAGAAGTGACTGATCAAGTCCTTTGTCATTTTGAATGCAGAGCATTAACTAATGGAAAAATAGCTAGGAGGTTCCCAATCTTTTCATTATATAACAAGTTGGTCATCAAACTTTTTTAACCGATGTCTCCAAACCTTTTTCCCCAAAATAAATTAAGGATTATTTTTGGTGTACATCACCAAGTACATAAGAGTGTCCCTAAGGCGCGACCCTATTGGAGGGGCGCTTGAGCCCCGCCCTAATATGGGGGGCGGGTGTCCATTATGAACACCCTTAAGTACTTGGTGATGTACTCCAAGAATAACCCATAAATTAACCTATGGGATCAGAAAGTTTGCAGCAAACGAATAAGGAGGGTATAAGTTCAGGAAAAAACCTCTAATAAAAACTTCAAACTCGTTTTTCTTTATCAATAACATTAAACCAATATGCATATATGCATATAAGGAGCATTTATTGCATTAATTCTCCAACTTATGAGGAAAAAAATCTCAATTCTAACACCATGACTAACCTAAATTAGTAAGAAGGAAAATTGTGGCCGGTCAATTTTAATGACTCCATTAAGATGTTCTAAACATTTATCTTTCCTTCTACAGTTATATTGACTCTTCAATGTCTTTAACTGGTCCTTGTGGAATTCAGCCTCTGAACATCAACCAGCTGGTAAAGATCCCCTCGTCGTTGCCTCTGGAAAGGAAGGAATGTTCTGCAACCACAGATCAACGTGCGTTACAAATAGATGAAAATTAGGGTCATCAGTCAGTCAGATTATAACGTTCATCGAATCCCAATACGAGTCCCAGAGGAGCTAATTTTGTTACTAAGAACTGTTATCCAAATATAGTAAACCATACAATGTACAAAGGTTTTCAACAGTGTGTTCCAACCTCCACCCAACAAAGTAAAAAAGGAAAGGTATTTTTTCATTCCTAACTAGCAAAACTGGTGCACTTAAAATTCAAATTCTTCAGAAATCAGGAAAATGGCCACTTAGATCGTATAATAAGTACCAATGCCAACATATATATGGAGGTTTGGATGAGAAAATAACGAGATAATCATTCATCGAAGTCTAAACAGAGTAATCCAAACTGTGATCCATATGCAGGTTTGTTAGCATCTTACCTTCTCTGCTCAATCAGGGAATAATCTATCTCTGAAATAACTATCGCCTCATCATGCTCTGTTGTTGCAATTACTTCTCCAAACTGAAAACAGCCAGTTCCTTTAGGTATTCAGTATCCTTTTTCATAATAAAATTCTAGAAAGCAGAGGAAATTTATTTTTCACCAGGGATTCAATTAAACAATCTCAACACTTATGGTTTGTTATTTCAAAATCATGACGACGAATTGCAGCAAGATGTTCAACACAAAATTTAATACAAGTATATACTCACTGGTCCAACAAGAGTAGAATGTCCCCAAGCCACATAACTAGAATTAGAATCTCTGGCAGGTGAGCACGTCGCTACATACAGCTGTTACAAGCATAGGCACCAGTTAAGTATACAAGTAACGAAACTCTCATTTTAACTGTCATAACGAATATTACAGCATGAAAAGTGCCAACTTGTTGCTTCATTTTTCCTTTGGAAGCTGTAGCATTTCCTAGATGTTGCATTCATGTATAATAAAAGGATCACCGACAGCACACGAATAGGTCAAGTAGAAAAGAATATTTAGCCTAGCCTGATAGGAAATATACAATTTCAATATTATAGAAGATAAAGACTCATAAATTTGCCCAAGTAAAATTTGAGCAATATAATTTATAAAGGCTCTTCAGTTCCTATCTTAGTAACAATTAACCACATGTTCAGGGAATTTAAATATATTTGTTTACAGATAGATGATAATGGTCATCTGTGGTATTAACGGAAATGTGGGAATATAGGGACAGTGGTCAGTGGATGTCTCCCAGCAAACAAAGCCAAATTACTTGTTAGGAAAAACAAAAAAAAAAGGGGACAAAAGCAGCTATTTTATTGTGTCTAAGGTCCAATTCAAAACATTAGCAATGATAAGGAGGAAAGGTTCCCTTGCAACACTTAATTTTAAATTGAAAAATATATATATATAACAGCTCAGTTAAGATGTCTATTATTAATAATATCTAAAACCAAAATGCTCATAGGAAATAATGGAATTACCTGACAATCAGCTGCCCTGCATTAAGAAGCACACAAAATGTTAATATGACTAATTTCTTTAAGATGAAACAGAATTCATGTAAAGATTGTTTAACATTACAAGGAATTGTAAATGAGGCATTCGATCAATATTTTGACCAGATCAGAAGTCTGCAAGAGTGCTATGCGTCTCATGGAAGCAGAGTGAAAGATCATTAAACGTTTAAAGATCATATGGTTTAACCATTGAGAGGGCTTGTTGCTATACACTTTTATTATGCAGTCAAATTTGTTTTATATGGTCTCAGGAAACTACTTCAGAGATTCGCATGATACACTTAGCACCAGATAAATTTGGCCCACTTTATTGGTACTGTACAAGGTCAAACTGAAAATTTTGGCTATTATATTTTGAAATCATAAAGACGCATTACTTATTACATAGTATTATTTAAATGTCATAAAAAGATATGCAATATCATTTCCAGAAATTTGGTTTGACTGGTCAACATTATGACATCTCAATAAGTCAATAACAATTGGACTGAAGTAGTAGGAATGATATGAATATTGTTATTCATAGTAATAGCATGATTACAAGTCACAGGATCCATATTAAAATGTACAGTCCATCCAGCAAATAATGACAGCAAGAAAGCTCCATTTATGTTAAAGATTAAGCCCCTGTTTGGTAGCTAAAATTCAGATTTTTAGTAGATTTAGATAAAAGTTGGTGAAATATGTTGATAAAATAAAAAAGTAGATCTCATGAAATGTATGGTTGAAAATAATTGTTGATTTTAACTTAGATTTCTATCAACTTTTCAAGTTACAACAAACAAGGGCTAAAAGTGTTACAATTTTATCAATTTCGAGGAAATGTTTACTTCCAAACAGAATTTGCACATTAACACATATCATACGATCAAAATGCCATCACCAAGATAAGCTCAGAAAAGAAACATGAAGAATCATTGTTTCTCCTAGGCTAGAGCTTTTTGGTAGACGCTAGGCAGTCGTATATTTACCTTGCCCTTTGCAACAACTCCCAGTGCAGAGGACCAGTGGTCATGTTAAAAGCCCCAGGGTAACATATCAAGTGGGCACCTAGCATCCAAAAAGAACAGTCCTATTAGAAACACCAACCCAATGAGAATAATAGTAGTTGAAACAACACAGAAATTCACCTCTTGGAGGCTGAGTTCTTTTGGGGAAGGGGGGAAGAACTTAGTTTGGAGAGAGGAAGAATTTAGTACAGACGGAGAAGGCATAAATACAAAAAGATGAGAAATGTCTTTCTTGATGCAGATCCTAGTGTGTTTCAACCCAAAAAATTAAAATAAAAGAGCTTCATTTTAGACGTTAAACTTTAGAGAGAGGAAAAGTTTTATTCTGCAAATCATAGTGTTTCATATCAGAGAAGAAAGCCAAAGCCAATCTTTTTTGGGTAATGAAAGCTGTAGAGCTAATTTATAGCCACATATCGAAAAACTACTATTTCCCAAATTTAATCAATAAGCTAACTAAACAACCTGACTTATATGACTAACACGACCAGTATCTGCTAACTGACACGACAAAAGAAAATTTAATCTCTTCACAAGGTTTAACTGAAACTAGTTTATGTAATGGTCCAGTCTATTTTAAGTGTAAGATACGACCTTAAACTTCAATAAAAGAAACTTAATGCATTGCATAATGATAACACTTAAACACTAAGGAATTTATTTTGTTCGCATGTGATCTTGAACAGCTCCTCACATGCAGGCCGAATTTATTTTTTCATCACAAGCCTGATATGTGAACTATTCATAAATGTGAAAGAATTTAATCCAGGGCATTTATTTGTTCTAATAACATGTTGAACCACCAGATCGAAAAGTTTAATATGTCTTCAACATGTTGATATCTCACCGGATTTCGTGGGCATCGACCAATCTAATGCTCCTGAATTGGTTGTTCCATGGCAAGAAGAATTAGATAAGAAAATTTGAAGTTCGGTTTTCCATCGCCAACCAGCAGCTCAATATTTTTCTCCATCCCTCTCTTTTCTTTTATTCAAAATCCATATATAAGAACAGTATTAACTATTTCTTTTTGATAAATAATCAAATGTTTTATTAATTAAAATGTAATACACAGGAAGTGTATTATACATTTAAACAAGAAATAAATGTCATGAAGTTAGGCAGCCCATCTATGTGACTAGAAACTACAGCACTAAATCAATTATACAAGGTCAAATAAAATAATTCTCTAAACTATTCGAAAGTCTTCATCTGATCATCAAAACAGCGCCTGTTTCTTTCTCTCCACACGCACCAAACAATGCAGCCTGGAATAAGATCCCAAACGAGTTTACTGTCCTTGTCACGAAACTTTCTCCTCCAAGCCTTCAACAAATCTTCCATATGCCGTGGCATCACCTAATCCATATGTTGAGAAGCCAAAATATCATTCCACAGCAAACGGGCGCCATCACAATGCAGGAACAAATAGTCAACCGTTTCCCCATCCTTTCTGCACATATGACACCAATTTGTAATATAAAACCCCCTCAATCGAAGATTGTCCGCCGTTAAAACTTGTCTTCTCATTACCGTCCATAGTAAAAACACCACCCTTGGAGGCAGTTTACACTTCCATACCATCTTCCAAGGAAATAAATCCTCCGCAGATCCCAATAAGGATTTGAAATAAGTGCTAACTGAGAAAAAGCCATCCCTTGTCAGCATCCACCTGATGCGGTCACACTCTCCAACCTTGATATGCACGTCATACAAAGAGGTCAATAGCACTGCATAATCATCCACTTCCCAATCTTGTAGTCCCCTCCCAAAAACAATGTTCCAACTGATGCTCCCGTTATGTGTATCTAATACATCATTCACCATAGCAGATGGCATCACGGCAATACGATACAAAGAAGGAAATCGCTCCCTTAACGGTTGATCACTACACCAACAATCATCCCAAAAGCTGATAGTATTGCCATTCCCCACACCGAAGGTCACTCTATTCCGAAAGTCACTCCACCCTCGTCGAAAAAACCGCCATAAACTCACCCCGTAGGTACCACGGCTCTCAACTGAACACCATCCACCCTCCATCATGCCATATTTCTCTTCGATAATTTCTCTCCAGAAACTCTCCCTTTCCACCCCAAACCGCCATAACCACTTACCCAATAAGGCCTTATTAAACAATACAAGGATCCTCAATCCGAGTCCCCCAACCCTTAAGGGAGAACAAACTGCACCCCAATTTACTAAATGATATTTCTTCTCCTCTCCTAACCCTCCCTAAAGAAACTCCCTTTAAATCCTCTCAAGTCTCTTAGCCACTATAACAGGAATGGGAAATAAAGACAAGAAATAATTGGAAGATTCGAGAGAGTAGACTTGATAAGAGTAAGGCGACCTCCCTTTGAAAGGTATATACGCTTCCAACCCGCTAATCTCCTCTCCACCCTTTCCACTATACTGTCCCAAATGTGTTTACTTTTGAACCTTGCTGCTAATGGGAGCCCAAGATATGTCATAGGCAACTGTGCAACCCTACAGCCCAATGTAGCAGCCAACCTTTCCACATTATCGACCTCTCCAACAGTGATGACTTTAGACTTCCCCAAATTTATCTTCATTCCAGATACGGCTTCGAAGCATAGAAGCAAACGACGCAAATTCCTAAAGTGTTCAACGTCTACGCCACAAAAGATCAGAGTATCATCTGCAAATAGCAAATGAGATATCTGCAGTTGACCAATCCTAAAGCCCTTTAACAAACTTTCCCGCACAGCCTTTTCAACCATTTTACTGAATGCCTCCATTACAATAACAAACAGAAATGGAGACAAAAGATCCCCTTGTCGCAATCCCCTAATACTTCAGAAATGGCCTTCAGGAGTGCCTTTTACCAGAACTGAAAAAGAGATAGTAGAAATACAAAATTGAATCCACTAGCACCACTTGGCTCCGAAACCACATCGCCTGAGCATATACAATAGGAAACCCCAGTTCACGTGATCATAGGCCTTTTGAATATCAAGTTTACATAGCATCCGTGGAGCCCCTTGACGTAGTCTTGAACCAATACATTCATTTGCTATGAGAACGGAGTCCAAGATCTGTCGCCCTTTAACAAAAGCATTCTGATATTTAGACACTACTTTTCCCAGCACCTCCTTTAATCTATTAGTCAAAACCTTTGCAATAATCTTATACACCCCACTTACTAGACTGATAAGTTGAAAGTCCTTAATGTCTGTCGCTCCTAGTTTTTTTGGGATCAGCACAATAAATGTGGTATTAGAGCTTTTTAAGAATCTGCCACACTGGAAAAAGTAAGCAAAAACATCCACAATGTCCGAACGTATCACATCCCAACAAACCTTGTAGAATGCGAAGGAGAATCCGTCCGGTCCTGGGGCCTTGTCATCATTCATACTCAACACCACCTCCCTAATCTCGTCCTCCCCAAATGGTCTTTCTAACCAATTGACATCCTCCTCAGAAATAGTGGAAAACTCTAGCCTCTCAAGCTCTGGCCTCCAATCAAACTGCTCCTTATAAAGGTTTTGGTAGAAACTCACCATTTTGGTACCAATATCCTGTGGACCCTCAAAAGTTACCCCATCCACCTCCAGCATAGATATACAATTGTTGCGCCTGTTGGAATTGGCCACCCTATGGAAAAACTGTGTACACTTATCTCCCTCTCTCAACCACTTGACCCTAGATTTCTGGCGCCAAGAAATCTCTTCCATTTCCACCAACCTCTCCAGGTCACCCCTTAATTCTTGACGTCGCACCCTCTCGTCCCCTCCCAGTCCTCGACTTTCCTCCTTCCTATCCAATTCCTCTATTTCTAAGGTACGTTGATTTTTACGCCAGTTTAACATCCCCCACCTCCTCATTCCACCTTTTGAGGTCTTCTTTTAAAGCCTTTAATTTCTAGTCCAACACATAACTGGGGGACCCTCTGAACTTGTAAGAGGCCCACCAAGTCCATACTCGCTCCCCAAAACCATCCACTTTAAGCCACATTTTTTCAAACCTAAAAGGCTTTCTCCCGCTATATCCCACATCCCCAGATAATGAAATTGGGAAATGATATGAGTATACCCTCCCTAGTCTCCTCTGAGCGACGTCCGGGTACTGAGCCTCCCACTCCACACTAATCAAGAACCGATCTATTCTAGAATGAACAGGTAGCTCTCGATTAGATGACCAAGTAAAATATCCCCTCATCAAAGGCATATCCATCAACATATCCTCCCTGATAAAATCTGAAAAGTCTTCCATAGCCCCTATTAGTCTCCTGCCGCTAGACCTTTCAGTAGGAAAGCGGACCACATTAAAGTCACCCCCTATGCACGTTGGGAGGTTCCACCAAGCCATCATACCTGCCAATTCATCCCACAAGCCACCTCTACTTTCATCGACATTAGGCCCATAAACTCCTATGAACATCCAACGAAATCTATCCCCAATATTTGTAAATGAAAGGGATAGGGAAAATAGCCCTTCACTAACCTCCTCCAACTGAAAGACTCTAGTATCCCACATAATAAGCACCCCTCTTGAAGCCCCCACTGACCCCACAAATTGATACCCAATATGTTGTCCCCCCCCCCCCCCCCCCCCCCCCCCCTCACAGATGACTGCCAATTCAGTTTTTAAAAAGTTCCCCCCCCCCCCCCCCCCCCCCCCCCAATAAGCTACTTACAACAACCCTCGAAACGGTCTCCAACTTTGTCTCTTATAAGCAAACAATGTTAGCCTTCCAACCCCTTAAGAGATTTCGAACACCTAACCTTTTACCAGCTTCATTAAGCCCCCTCACATTCCAGCTAACAATTTTTGGGATCATCTTGACGCACTGTCATCCCTCCCCATCAATCCTCCTCTTGACTCACCACTCCTTATGTCATAATTAACCGAGCATTCAAGTCTTTTAAGTTCACGGTCACCCTTTCTTCTTATCTTACCTCCTGGTGTATCCATCCCTTGTCCCTTACTCGCCTCCAACTCCTCAAATAGTTGCAAGAGATTATGTTCATACCCATCGCAGGACACCCCCACCATTCTGCTGAAGTCCAAAATTTTTTGAAGAGCCCAGCTCGATGTTGGTGGTCTAAAATCAAGCTCACTCATTTCCACTATCTCCTCAGAGGAAAGTTGATCGTATTGTAAGTCCTCTTCTTCCACCCGACCTACATCCCTATTTATATCCTCCTTTTTGGCGCCCTCCACCCACACAACTAGCACTTTATCATTCCCTGATTCCTCCTCATTTATAGACTTAGAGTATCTCCTACAGTAGGTATTCGTGACCATCTTTGCCAACCCTGTTGCCCCTGGTTGTTTCTCAATTGCCACATCCGATCTCTCCAACTCCAAATTCATCAAACGCGGTTCCCCTTCCTTGTCCCTTACTTCCACCTCCGCCCTCTACTTTGTACTTGGGCCTCGCCACTTGGCTCAACCATCACCTCTGAAGTGTTAGCCCTCTTCGATTTCAACTCCTTAGACACCGCATTAGCTACTACATTTCCGTTTGCTATATAGTCATCTGGGCCCACTCCACATGCATGACAATACTTCTTCTTATAACCCATTATTTGCCCGCTATCCAATAACCTCGTTAGTTTATCCAATTCCCCTTTCAGTGCCTTTATATGTACCCTTATGTCAGCATAGTTTGCAGAAATATCATACGTTCCTTCGGTAGTCTTTTTGTTGTCCTTATGCACCATTAAATGGCCTTCCTTGTTTGGTCCCCAGATTCGTGGACCACTCCTCTCATTTACCGGTTTATCCTTTTGAATCCATACCCATTGATCAGCATTCTGAGAGGCCCGTGCCGTAACTGCAGCATAGGTCATCCCTTGTAGGCTCTGGTCTTCCACTACTCAATGCTTGGCCTTATCTTCGACAACAAATGATTCTATAACTGCTTGAAACACGCGAGAGATCGCTGCCCATCCGTCTCCATTATGCCCTTCAGGTACCATCACTACACCCTGTCGTCGACGCTCCCCATACTGCGCTATTATGAGATATCTTCCACGACTGTTAGTACATCGTTGTGCCAAAAACGCTCGGGGAGTCTCATTAAATTTCGCTACAAAATCCTCCGACACACTAGCCATCCTTAACTTATCCATCATATTAACCATCCACATAGCTCCAAATCTTCCCATGAGAATAGCACTGGAGATCTTAGCTCCCCATTCTGATATCTTAACCATGCCTGAATCAGTGACAGACACAAATAATTGTTTTGCCTCAATTCTGAAACTGGAGCTGAAGACCAACATGCCATTAGGAACCCCCTGACTCCCTAGATTTCGTGCAACCAAAGCATCATATGAAGAAACAGGATGGTTATTTGTCTCCGGTGAATTCTGCACGATCTGAGCTCTCCCCGGCGGCGGCGCGTGTCGTCGGAATGCCCTGACCAAGTCTCCTGTCAGGCGCGTGGGTCGGAATTCTGGCCGGATCTTGAGGCATCTGGGCTCGAATCCCCGGTCGATTTCTGCCTGTGACCACTCGCCAACCGCCCAAGTCGCCGTCGCCTACTTCAGAGGTAGCTGGGTCATCAGCCAAAACATCAGATCGAGGGACGGTGCTGTGGTTTACACCCAGGGCCGTCGCCTACGATTGTGGCTCGTTTTGTGGCGTGAGGCCGATTTTGTTGGGTCCACTGGGCGCCTGCGATGTTGCCGGTATGGTGGATTTAGATATTAGGGAAGGATACTCCATCCCACAGGAACGGGTTCTTCAACTGGGTGATTTCTTCAACGTTCTCTCTGCCGGGGAGATGGTCCTAGGATTACTGCGGAATAGAAAACTCAAGAATTTTGTATTCATCTCGAGCGGAATTTTGTTTCTTTGGTCATGGTTCACGCTCTTACAGTATTAACTATTTCTTTTGGCAATTAAACATAGTCCAGTCTCAAAGGTTAGCAATAACTCCATCTGAATCACAAGGCTTTCTATGGACAATAATTTTGATATGCTCAGTCTCTGTAATACCTTCATTTAGATGAAACATTTCAGATTCTATAGACTATTCTTAGAAAATTGCAACAAGAATTTGAAAAATTTAAAGCACGGTAGTACAAAGAGAAGAATTACCATCAGATATAACCACGAAACACTCAAGGATTGATAGACCCAACTTGATGGCAAGGTCGACCATTTGGACAGACAAGTATAGACTATGTCAGAAAGGCAGGAGAATCGAGAATCAAAGGTCACCAGACGCTCAAAATTTCATGAGTGGCCCTTATAGGCATCTTAAAACATTTTTCCTTGTCTTGATGAGTGGAAGTCAAACTCGTAGGAATAGTGATGAGAACATCATCCTTTTGCTTTTGGATTATTTTACTTGTGCTTTAGTTAGTTAGGTTTGTAACTTATGCTTTAGTTTATTGGGCTTGTATTATGGCTGGCCCAAGCCCCTTTATTTTGTAGGGTTGTATTTTCTATATATATATATATATATATGCTTTGTAATGCAACTTGCAAGGGGGGCGATGATTGAATGAATTGATAAATTTGCTTGGTGATCAAGCCTTCTCCTTCCCCTGAACTCATCCTCTAGTTTTCTTCTCCAGTTTTCTCCCCCTTTCTTGCTTCTCCTTTGCTCTTTGCTATGGTTTTGTTCTTCTCTCTGTCTTCCTGCTTCTGTGATTGCTCTTTCTTATTAACTGTAAGAATCCATCCATTGATCCTACATCAAAGTTGTATTAGAGCTAAACCTTGATTCCGTCCTAAAAAAATAAAAATGGCTGCAACCATAATTCTCATGTCCAATTCATCGACAACAACACCCAGCACATATACACGATCAATATAACCCGTCTGCTACTACAAATCCCGCTGCAACCACCACTGCAAAGTGCAAACCCCTAACTGCCTGATCGAAAATACTACCACGAAAGCCCATTATCAGAAATGATAACCACCCTTCAATCAATAGATGCGACACCAACTCACAAACACCCAGTTACTCAAACAACCGTCGCCATCTACCCAGAACCCACTTCAATATCGCAATCATTTTCACTCAGCAGATCCAGAAAATTTCAAGTCTTCGGCCAATATTTCATCTACACGATGTGCATATGTTCAACCCATATAGTCCCAAAATCAACAGCCCACCCCCATCATCCTTTTGCTTCTCTGGATTATTTTACTTGTACTTTAGTTAGTTGGATTTGTAACTTATGCTTTAGTTTATTGGGCTTGTTTTATGGGATGGCCCAAGCCCCTTTATTTTGTAGGGTTGTATTTTCTATATACATGCTTTGTAATGTAACTTGCAAGGGGGACGATAATTGCATGAATTGATAAATTTGCTTGGTGATCAAGCTTTCTCCTTCCTGTGAATTCTTCCTCTGGTTTTCTTCTCCGGTTTTCTCCCCCCTTCTTGCTTATCCTCTGTTCCTTGCTGTGGTTCTGCTCCTCTCTATTTTACTGCTTCTGTGATTGCTCTTTCTTATAAAGCCTCTATTTGATAGCAATTTTTCACTCCAAAAAATCAATTTTTTTACTGTTATTTCACTATTCCAACCGTCATTTTTTTACCTTTTCACTCAAAGGTAAGATCCACTTTTCTGTCTAACGTTCAAAAAAATCAATTCTCATAATAACTATCAAACAGACCCTAACTGTAAAAATTCATCCATTGATCCTATATTAAACAGCCTGCTACCTTTACCCCTATTGGAGCATTAAGACCCTACGATACACCGACACGGGCATGTACGTGTCGGATACGCCGACAAGTGATTTTTCAAAGAGTACTACTGACACAACACGGTGCCGACACATTAATTAAAATCTTTAAAAAAATTATTTATTTACATAGCATAAATTTAGTTTTTTACTTGTTGAAATTTTTTAAATATGAACACCTACTTATTATTTAATAATAATTTTGAGTTAAAAATAAAAAAAAAAAATATATATATATATATATATATATATATATATTCTTAATAAAGAAATAAAATGGCCATGATAGAGTGTCCGACTCTTGTCGGACACGTTACCCTAATTGAAATGTCCGTGCAACACTGTTAAGACCTCAATAACAGTTAAATTTTGAGTTTCACTAGTAGTTTTATCAAACTCAAGTTGGACATCACAAACTACAGGAGAAGATAGGTCGCTGATCCTTTGAGTAATCTTGGAATGAAATCGAGTATATGCTAAATGTCCCGAGTTCTAGATGCAATCAAGAGATAATTAAGGATTTACAACAATGACCAGACCTTTCTTAGGGTAAACATAGATTGATGACGAAATATGTAGAAAGTTTGATGACCAACAAGAAACAAGAAAAAGTAGTCCCTATTTCAAAATTATAAGATAATTTAAACCCTTGAGGGGAGAATTACAAATATTTTAGTAGCATGTGGTTACGTGGCATGAAATACACATGCATATGTATATGAACACTCGGGGTCGTGGTGACACTCAATTGTGATCATTAGCAAAGTGAACACAACCAAATCAATGGGAGAAAAATAAAAATTGAATATATGGGCTACGAAAGATGATTACTAATTACTAAAAATAAATAAAATAAAAATAAAACATACCTCTAGCTGCATATATTGTTGCTAGTTCTTGGAATCGAATGTCATAGCATATACCTATACCAATGCGCCCGACATCTGTGTAGAAGAGTATCAGTCATTAAAGAAATTCGATGTGCAAACACATTTTCGAACTGTAAGTAAAAGACTGGCAATGAGCTGCCAAAGAAATAGAAGTTAAGAATATAATTTTTAGTTGATTTATACATTGATGTAGGGTAAATGATTCAATAACTATAACAAGAAGAGATGGGGGAAGGGGAGAGAAGAAGAAGAAGAAGAACAGAGGTGGGGAAGAAGAAAGGAAAACGGCTGCAAGCCAACTTTATAATTTAATCAAATTCATCAACTGAAAAATAACAATGTAAAATAGGTTTAAATACTGAAAAATACTACAAACCTAGGGCCAAACCCAAAACACAAGTCCATAAAATTAAAATAACATAAGTCCAACTAAAATAATTAAAACTGGACTGGGATGTCCTCATCAATTCTCCCGGGGTGGGAGAGAAAACTCGACCCTGTCGAGTGGCTATATCACCATAGGCATCCGTCAATTTTCCAACCACAGGCTGAGTGCCTGGGCAAGCTTCTTCCGGCATTTGTAGAAATGCATCGATGACAGTCTAAACCTGGTGTCCTCACCAACTCCTCTCGGATGGACGGGAGGCGATCTGGGCCAATGAAGATCCTGCTGACTCCGATAAAACTCTAACAAATCTGAGTCCAATTGCTGTAGTGTCTCCCTGGAGATCCATACACAGTCACAATCTGGTCGACCAACCCAACGAACAAGGAAGCGCTGAACCTCTCCATCATTAGTGAACACAGTTTCTTCATCTAAAATAGCATCAATTTTTTCTTTGTGCTATGAGAGGTGGTAGTGGGTTAGAAGGGGTCAAAGAATCAGGGTCAAGGTCCACAATAGGAGATGACAGAGGATCATCTGAGGGAATGAAATGGCCTTTATAAGCTACAAGGTCCTCAACATTGAAAGTAGAGTGGTAACCAAGGTGTGGTGGAATGTCAACAATATATGCATTTGGATCAACCTACTTTAAAATTTTAAAAGGACCAGCACTACGAGCTTGCAATTTAGAGGCGGGTCCATGTAGACGCCGCTCTAACCTAATGCGAACCATAACGTAATCCCCAATGTTAAACTCAATATGTCGTTTGTGTAAATCAGTTTGGAGTTTATATTTTGCATTACTAGTTTCAAGTTGTTTATTGATCTCAATATGCAAATCACGAAGATGTCGTACAAATGCTTCGGATGATAATGACAATCTAGCCTGTAGGGACATAGGGATGAGATCTAACGGTTTTCTAGACTTGTACCCATGAACGGCGTCAAATGGGCTCATACCTAGTGAACAATTTATAAAGCTATTGTACGCAATTTGAGCTACAGGAAGGATCAAATCCCAATTTCGAAGGTTTTCTCGAACCAGACAACGTAATAGGTTACCAAGACTTCGATTAACTACTTCAGTTTGACCGTCAGTCTGAAGGTGGTAGGCCGTAGAAAATTTCAATTTGGTACCCATCTTGTGCCACAAAGTTCTCCAAAAATGGCTAGTGAAACGAACGTCCCTATCAGACACGATGGTCTTGGGAAGCCCATACAATTTGACAATTTCATTAAAGAATAACAGGGCAACCTTGGACGCATCCGACGTCTTGCTACAGGGGATAAAATGAGCCATCTTTGAGAAGCGATCGACAACCACAAAAATGGAGTCATGCTTCTTTGGGGTGCGTGGAAGTCCTAACACAAAATCTATACTAACATCTTGCCAAAAACAATTAGGGACAGGGAGAGGGGTGTATAGACCTGTGTTCTGCTTCTTCTGCTTACTCAATTGACAAGTGTTACAAGTACTAACAATCTTAGCCACGTCTTTCTTCAAGTTAGGCCAATAGAATTGACGTTCAACTTCCTCTATGGTCTTATCAGGTCCAAAATGATCGGCTAACCCTCCCGCATGAATTTCCCACACGATGAAATCTCACACTGAAGTTCCAGGGATGCATAATTTATTGGCTCTAAAGAGATAACCCTCCTCAAGTCGGAAGCCATCTGTGGCGCTTGATTGTCCTCTTTGTAAATCGAGAAAAATATCCTTAAAATCGGGACACGCCTCGTAATCCTCCTTAAGTCTTTCAAAACCGATGACCTTGACACTCATGATCGACAAAAGGGAGACACGACGACTTAACGCATCAGCTGCTTGGTTCTCTACGCCCTTCTTGTGTTTTAAAACAAATGAATAAGCCTGTAAATATTCGACCCAACGACCATGCCTAGAACTTAATCTTTTCTGGGAGTTGAGGTAACGGAGGGCCTCGTGATCCGAATAAAGGACAAATTCCTGGGGTAACAAATAGTGGCGCCAATAGCGCAAAGCCTGGACCACTGCATACAGTTCCTTATCATAAGTGGAGTACCGCTGTTTGGCCTCATTTAACTTCTCACTGAAATAGGCAATAAGGTGACGATCCTGACTTAAGACTCCGCCTATACCTACCCCGGAGGCGTCACATTCAACTTCAAAAACTTTGAAAAAATCAGGAAGACGCATGACAGGGGCCTCCGTCATTCGTTTCTTGACTAACTTGAAGGTCTTAGCCGCCTCTTGTGTCCAATGAAACTCCCCTTTCTTCATGCACTCCGTAATAGGCGCCATGATAGTGCTAAACCCCTTAATAAAGCGACGGTAAAATATAGCTAAGCCGTGAAAGCTTCTGACGTCATAAATAACTTTAGGCTCAGGCCAGTCAATAATCGCATGAACCTTAGCAAGGTCAGCGGATACCCCTGTCGAAGAGACAATGAACCCCAGAAAAACGACTGTGTCGGTGAAGAAAGAGCACTTCTTGACGTTAGCATATAGATTAGTAGCACGAAGGGTAGAGCAGACTTGTGTGAGGTGGTCAATGTGTTGCTCCTTAGACTTACTATAGATGAGGATATCATCAAAGTAGACAACAAGAAACTTTCCCATGAATGGTCGGAGAGCTTGTGTCATTACCCGCATAAAGGTACTTGGTGCATTACTTAATCCAAAAGGCATGACCAGCCATTCATAAAGACCATCTTTCGTTTTAAACGCAGTCTTCCGCTCATCACCTGGGCGAATTCGAATCTGATGGTATCCATTCTTCAGATCAATTTTCGAAAAGATTGTGACACCAACCATCATGTCTAACATATCGTCAAGTCTAGGAATGGGAAAACGATACTTCACCGTAATCCTATTGATCGCGCGACTATCCACACACATCCTCCAAAAACCATCCTTCTTGGGCGTCAACAGGGCGGGGACAGCACACGGGCTTAAACTCTCACGAATGAATCCTTTGTGAAGGAGGTCATCCACTTGCCTTTGAAGTTCAGCGTGCTCGGTAAGATTCATCCTATAATGAGGCAAATTTGGGAGGGATGCCTCTGGGACGAAATCTATGGCATGTTGAATATCCCTTAGTGGAGGGAGATGGTCAGGTAGGTCCTCCGGAAAGACATCTCGAAACTCTTGGAGGACCGACAAGACTTCAACAGGGCTCTCTATTGTAAAGTGGGGTGGAACCTCCAGGACCACCAAAGTGAACACAACTGAGTCACCAACAAGTGTACGCTCAAACTCCGTAGGACTAACGATGTGCAATCCCTTTCGTTCCACACTTTTCTTCGTTTCCAGTGGGCCCGTAGGCTTTGGGGACAGTGGGTTAAGGTGAATCTTCTTTCCATTAAACACGAAGGAGCAGGAATTGGATCGACCATAGATGGTTACAGCTAGGTCAAATAACCAAGGTCGTCCCAAAATGATGTGCCCGACATCCATTGAAATGACGTCACACCATATATGGTCCTTATACTCGAGAAACTGGATAGGGACTAAACAACGCTCCTTGACAGCGATGGAGGAGGTATCAACCCAAGAGACGCTATATGGCTGAGGGTGAAGAACAGACTTCAACCCTAGACAGGATACAGTAGCCATCGAAACCGCATTAATGAAGCTGCCACTATCCACATAACTTTACAGCCCTTATTATTAATCTTGATGTAAGTGTGGAAAATGGCATAACGGCGCCAATCATCGGCATCCCTAGGTTGGGTAAGAGTACAACGGACGACACCGACTCTAGGCGTATGTGGGATAAGGGGACTAGCCTGAATATAACCCAAGAAGGTATCTTCACTATCCTCCAAGTCATCAAACTCTTCTAACTTAAGCTCATAAACCTGGTCCTCTAGTGGCTAGTCAACTATACCTTCACGCTCTTCTAAAACTAGGGCTCGGCTAGGACACTTAGAAGCAATGTGACCAAAACCCTTACAGTTGAAGCATTGTAAACGAGAGGACGTTCTTGAAATCTCAGATCCCCTACCTTTACTATCCGATGTAGGGGTAGTAGTAGAAGGAGGAGGTCCTAGAATAGACTTAGGGGATGGAGTGGATGCTGAAGAGGTTGCAGTGCGGGAGTCACTACGACTTCTGTACGGTGTCCTAGTCACTAACTCGTAATCCCGAACGAAAGAGTAAGCGTGATCAAGAGTGGTGACACCTCTAAGAACAAGCTCACGTCTAAGATCATCTTGCAGGCCTTGCCTAAACCTACTCACAGTTATGACTTCATCCTCAACGACCTGACATCTCATTCGAAACTCGTCAAACTGAGCAACATATTCAGTCACAGGTCGACTGCCTTGCGTAAGTGCGTTCCATTGATCCAACAAGTTACCCCAATAAGATTGAGGTAAATATTTTTCTTCAAGGCAACGCTTCATTTCATCCCAGTTCCCAACAGGGAGAGCATGGCGCCTCTCTAGGAGGTCCTCAACACTTTCCCAAAACAGTTGAGCTATGTCAGTTAATTTCAAACTGGCAAATTGTACCCTCCGATCTTCAGGGACCCCATACCAGGCAAAGAAGCGATCCATATCGCCAACCCATTGAAGAGTGCGTGGTTGGTTGTCGGTCGTGGGGGCACAGATCGATTGTACTGGTTGTGTGGTGGATTGATTGTTGCAGTGGATTAGGGACCATGCAGAAACGGTGAAGGCGTTAAACTGGATTCTGCTGAAACTGACTTTGAGCCTCACAGTGAACACCTAAATATTTTCCCAAGTTTACTCTGATACCAATTTGATGCAGGGTGAATGATTCAATAACTATAACAAGAAGAGATGGGGGAAGGGGAGAGAAGAAGAAGAAGAAGAACAGAGGCGGGGAAAAAGAAAGGAAAACGGCTGTAAGCCAACTTTATAATTTAATCAAATTCATCAACTGAAAAATAACAATGTAAAATAGGTTTAAATACTGGAAAATACTGCAAACCTAGGACCAAGCCCAATACACAAGTCCATAAAATTAAAATAACCTAAGTCCAACTAAATAATTAAAACTGGACTGAGATGTCCTCATCATACATGCTACTGTTTCTCATCCATAATTGCTCACTTGCCACAAAATGAGAAAAATAAAACTAAAAGCAGCAACAAAGCAACATCTCTATGAATGTTTAGAAAATACTCGATCTCAAATTGGACGTCCAAGTTCGACCAGGCACAGATTAAGTAAGAGTCGAAATTATCTCTAATTTCCTTATTTTCCCAGTATTCCCATTGTACAACTTACACTGTTGTCTGTGGCTTACATCGGCACTGACGTAGAATTTTGAAATAATTTTTATTTAGAGAATGTAGTTTGATAGAAAACAATCTGGAAATAATTTCATTGAAGGAAAGGGGAACATATCAAGACATTTTGAAAAGGAAAGAGCATCTAAAATGAAAACGATATTACAAATTTCAAAAATTTCAATTTGAAGTCCATGTCTGAAAAGAGGTTCAAAACCTTCAGAGAAATATCCAACATATATCCCTCAAGTCAAGAAGATCTGACAAATCCTTATGGACAATATGATTTAGTTCTTCAACATAAACCTCTCTCAAATATTTAGCAAAGTATTATATAAATGAGCAATATATCTGTCTTTGACATCTTGTACAGTGATCTTAAGTCTATATTTGATTTATCATGGTATCAGATAAAGAGATATCCTGTAAAACCTGTATCCACAACGGTTGGGGTGTCCCCTGCTGTAAGAGTCTTTGATTCTTTAAACGTCATTTGGCCTGGTATATCAATGTCAAAGAGATGAATCTGGAAAATAAAATGTCATTAAACCACCGGGGATCGTAGATGATATCCAAGTAGTCATTTGTGAAATTCTGAACGGATAGTACATGTTTGGTGTCAACCTAGCTTCTGTTATACTGAAGACAGTGTAATATACAGAAAAGAACAACCTTCCTGTGCTTAGTCTTAA